TGGTGGGCAAGCCATATATTCAAGTCAAAATGCAACAACCGGATCAAACTGTATGAAATGAATTAATTTTCATGATTTGCCTGAAAATTTGAAGGCGACATGCATGTACACGTTTTCAGAATTAAATCGCGGTTGATCACAGCATATCTGGGATCAGATTCCAAACAAACAATCTAAATGTATGAATGATATTGATGAACACACATACTCCACCTGTCTCAAAATAAACCAACATCGTACAGGATGTGACATATCTATGTATGTCCAGATTTATCATACTCGAAGATTTATTTTGGTACGGAGGGAGTAATTAATATAACCATGCGTATGCGCGCATATATGCATGGTCCTCTTCTCTATCAATATATACGAGGCAAAGTTTTGCCCTCTTTTTTTTAAAAAAAATATATGCATGGTCCCTAGCTAGTTACAAGAAAATAATTAGCTGCAGAAGACTGAATGTGGTCTTCTGCAGGCATCACGGCTTTTGGGAGTCTAGTAGGACTAAGCCCCCCCCCCTCCCCTCCTTTGTAGGAGCAGTTTTTTCAAGTTTAGCTTCCTGTAGCAATATAATGGCCACCTGGCCGGTTGTGTCATATAACTAAAACTCTGTTTTCTTGTCCTGTAGCAATGGCCACCTAGTCGGTTATGTCGTATAACTAAAACTCTATTTTCTTCTAATATATTGGCGTGCATTCTTTTAAACGGAATTACTTGGATCATGGACAATGTGAATCTTTAATTAGCTAGCTATGGAACATGAACCATAGTGTTTTTTTAGATGGACCTGTGGACCGACAAGAACCTGAGTAGGAGAGAGCCTATGTGCAGGCAGCTGGCTAACCGCTAATGCATGGTCCAGGCTTTATCTCAGAAAAAAAATAGTTTGGTTAGATACGCATCGTTGCATGCAGTAGCTCAATCTATCTATGAACCAAAATGTATATTTTCTGATCATGATGCTATGTCGAAATGTGCCCTACCTTTTCGTGACATGATCTTTAGTAGGTACTAATTGGTTTTGTTGATTCCATGTACACTCCAAGTGGAGAGATAGGAGAATCTATATTAGTTGCTACAAATAATCCTCAATGTGAACCATGAGCACATGTCTGTATGTACAACATATAGCTAGCTAAGCAACTCATAATTACTCCCTCCGGTTCCATATTAATTAACGTTTTGGATAAGATGGAGATCAAACTTTTATAATTTTGACCATCAATAACTTTAAAAAATATTTAGCGTAAAGGAACTAGAACAACATATATAGATTTGTCTTTCAAAACGCTATAATAAAAGTAAACATATATTTATTTATTATATATATTATAATAGAAAAATAAGGTTAAAAATATATTTTGTAGACCGTGTCATTATCTAAAACGTCAATTAAAATGGAACCGAAGGGAGTAATCACTAAGTTTGACCTTTATTTTTTTTCATACATAAGGTTAATGAAACAACATGCTCCGTTATTTGTGTGCAATTTATTCTTACAGTTAATCTTTGTGTTAATTAACAATTAATTAATCTCATTTTATTGTTTTGGTTAACAAAGCTTATGATTAGTTCTAAGCAAGGCACCTATCAAATAATACCAGTATCGATGTAGACACGTCTTGCAAGGTCTTTACCTTTTTAAAAAATGGTCTTTTACTTGGTCATTGACTTCATCAAGTGTATATGGAGTACTTGACGATCGAAGTCAATAGCTAGAGTCCCTGATCGACTTGGAATGCAACAGAAACGAACAAATCTTATTTTCAGTGCATATATATAATATATTATATATGGATGATTAGATAACCTAATTAGTTTGAATGGATTCTTATATGCTCAAGAAAAAAACAGTGACATCCGCATGAATGTTCTTAAGTTGACTTGCATATTTGACTGGAATATTCTCTCACATATATACATCTCGATCATTTATTCATTAATACATCATGCTTCACCAAATATTAAAATTAAACTAGTTGCATTGCTAGTTATATATGTGTACCAAGTTTAGCCACTCGAATGATTCTAAATAATAAGCTATCTAGCACAAGTTGGACCCAAGATAATGAGACACATGACACTGCACAAAGTCATTACTGGAAAGAAAACTGCAACCTCTAAATTATGTGGCCAAGTTTGGTAGCATACAAACAGACAGTGAGCTAAATTAAATAGCACTCCTGGAGGCAATAAAATTCAGAATGCATTGTACACAGGCTAACTAATTTTGTATATAGACTTCACTCAATGTGAACACAACTATTTTTGACCTCCTCTAATGTATAGATTATAAAGTTTTTTTTCCTCGAGGGGAGATTGTATATATGTTAATGGTACTACACTTGTAGACATGTCACACTAATTAATTGGAAATGAACCCGGTATGCTCGCCTGGTCAAGACGATGTCAACCTTAATTATTAACACGCCACTAGCTTAGTCAATATGTGCTTTCATATATGCTCAATATCTAATTAGCATTATTGGTAGTTCATTAGCTAATAAGCTACACAAGTTGTACAAATATACTCCTCTCCAATATTTTCTTTTTCATCGTCTTTTCACTATATCTTGATCAAGATTTCATTGGCTAATCGACCATTAATTTTTCTAACTTACGCTACCATATTACTAAAACAGAGGCGATAATTGCACCCTCGCCCACTGGATCTCTGATCTACTGTACTGTAAATACGTCCCTAGCTCAAAGTAGTATAAATATGCTCCATCAACTGTAAATATTTCAACGCGACTGTAAATACATATCTTGAAATACACTCTCTGATCGATTTAACTTAATTTGATCTCAAATTTATGCTTACGTTGATTACACCATGATCCAGATTTCGCGTCAGATGTCTGTCGATAGAGAAAGCATTTTAACGTCAAGTTGTTAAATCTTTTTGTTAAATGGTAATTTGTCGTTAATTCTAGAAAAATTAATAGGCAGACCACATCTTTCGACAAATAAGTATAACGCGCATATTTACTACATCTACAACCATATATGGTCTTTCCCGAACACATCTTTTTTCGTGAACGCCATATATGGTCTTCTCTACACAAGCTCGAAAATTCCAAATACATCAAATATTCCGATCATATCCTATAGATTGTGGGAAGGCACATAAATTTACGCTAAATGTGCACGAATGTGTAATGATTGTATATATTAGTTTGTATGATATCACCTAAACAAGATTTTACGAAAGGTACATTGTCCCCTGTTTAATTCAGAATTCACTTGACTGCGTGTATAGAATAAATTAACCTTTCGTCATCGATAAGCTTAATTACTCTGTAACCCAAGCATGTAGTATTATATAGGGCAGAAACTTTCCTAGGATTGGACAAGAAAACACTCAGCAAGTCATTAGCAAGTTCCCGGTAATTAATTATATCTTAACACTAGTACAATTTAAGCTATATATGATTGAAGAAGACATGTGCAATTTACTAGAGGATCAAGGAAGCATCAATCGACCAAAAGTTGTTGAACACGCACAGCGACAAGTCCACAAGTGAAGTACTAGTAATTATTCTTAACTAATTGGGGTTAATAGAGACCTGCAGCTACATACTAATTATTTAACTGACCAGTACGAAATAGCTTGAGCATATACTGATCAGATTATTTTTTAATTAGTATTATATTGTCTAAAAAAACACATCAGAATATACAAGACTTATGTAACAATCACCACATCACCACTGCATTTGGAAAGACGCAAGAACAGGGAATTTTTCAGGAAAACAGCGTGTTTTCTCCTTGAGATTTCCTGTGGAGATTCTGTCCCAAATAGTGCCTATATATATGACAGAATGACACATCAACCGATTGAGACTTCTTCTCTCTTATAATTGAAATGAAATTAGGAGAAAAAAATTAAGTTTGATTGTGACAACTGACAAATCCACTAATTAATTTGAATCTTTAATTTCATCTATATGCATGTATCCCTCACGAAAAAGAAACCATCCAACATATATCATCATCCTCCAGAGCACATTGGTTTTATGAGGAAAGAGAAAAACACATCCAAAGTTAATCTCTTATGTTTCCCCTTAAAGATATAATGAAAGTACAACTTCTTGTCTCTGCATTAACGAGAGAATGCACACAATCATTACGCTGCCATGATCTAATAAAGATGCCAATTGCCAAAATAAATTAGATCACATCTAAAGTTTCTCTAGTTAGCAAAGTGTTTTTTTTCCCTGGATTGATTATTATTTTTGTTCTTCCATGTATATATATATCTCACTTGTGTAGGAGAGACATATATTATATGCCCTAAGATTATATCCTGAGTACATAATCACAAATGCTTGCTTTGTCCAGAATATTTGTTGGATTGATGCCCTAGAATTGATAGGTTTTGGCCTATGTTCTATCTAATTAATTTATGCCACTTTTCTCACCCTAAAAAAATGTTCTAATTAATTTGATTTGATATACAGGATCGAAGCTAGGTGATCTTAGCTAGTCTATATAGAAAACGCAAAGTTACACATTTAGAATCTCATTTATTTAAAGAGTAGTGTTCCTATATCATGGTATATGTCATTGTAGCTTGGTAGCTAAATTAATTGCAATGGTGTCATGAACTTGACACAACATAATCCATAATTCAAGGATGCATGCATGCCTCTACCATGCATGCATCTAGCTAAAAGCTAACATGGATCACTAACTAGTTGTAAACTTGTAATTAATTAGGCCCCATTAATCTCCATCTAGGTTAACACATTTGCTAGGAGAGATGCAAGCTAATGATAGGACATGGATGACTGCAGAGAGATGTGAGAGATAGCATTAGCTAGGTCCTACATTATTAGATAAGCACAAAGATATATATTTTATGCCAGGGCTAGCTTTGCATGCCATCATACACAAGCGCACACACACACACTTGTTAATCCTCCTAATGATCAAATCAAGCTCTCACACAAGCTATTATACAAAAGGCCACCATTGTTTCCTTCTGATGCTTACTTTGCATATCACCCATTAACCAATTACTTAATTACTTAATTGTTTCTCCTCCCATGGCCCCCACATGTAATACACACAACCTGCCACTCTCATCCCTAACCTGCCAACCTATGTGTATAAATTCCCAGCTCCTTCCCTCCCATCTGAGAAGAAAGCAGCAGCAGCAGAGAATTCATCACCCAGCAAGATCAGTCAGGATCAGCTAGCTAATAAGCTAGCTACAAGCTTGATTAGTCACAAAACCACAAGACAATTAGCTAGAAGTATATACTGAGATGGGTGAGGAGGAGAAGATCATGGCAGCTGGGAAGAAGATGGTGAGAGTGAGGGAGTTCATCATGGAGAAGGACTTACCGGCGGTGGAGGAGCTCGAGCGCCTCTGCCAGGCCGGCCTCTCCGGCGACAACGGCGCCGGCGGCGGCGGCGGCAAGAAGAAGAAGAGAGGCATGTCGCTCTACGCCGAGCAGATCGGCGACCCGTTCGCCCGGGTTCGCCATGCTCCGGACCACGTCATCCTGGTAATTAGCTACTCCATCCGTTCCAAAATATAAAAATTTAGGACCAGATGAAATATGTCCTAGTACAGCGAATCTCGACAGGCAGCCTGACACTGTGTTGTTGCATGCACTGTGTTAATCTTACAGTGATGTTCTTGATGTGATTAGTTGCTTGGGCGTGCGTAATTAATGCGCTGTCATTGGCTGCTTTGATCTGTGTATAGGTCGCTGAGTGTGGAGACGAGGTCGTGGGAGTGATCAAGGCGTGTGTCAGGATGGTGACCAGAGGCAGCAGCAGCAGCTTGAGGAAGACGAAGACGAAGACGAACAAGTTTGTCAAGGCGGCGTGTCTTCTTGGCCTCAGGGTGTCGCCGTCTCACAGGTGATCGATCATCCACGCCGCCATGGACGACCATGCATGCGTGTCCAAGCTAAGCTTTGTAGTACGTGCCATGGCGATGGCGATCGAGCTAGCTGGTGCTGACGACGACGAGGTGTTCGGTCTTTTGCAGGAGGCTCGGGATCGCGACGGAGCTGGTGCGGAGAGCGGAGGAGTGGTGCGCGGCGAGGGGCGCGGCGTACGCGACCATGGCGACGACGGCGTCGAACGCGGCGTCGCTCGCGCTGTTCCAGGGCCGGTTCAAGTACGCGCTGTTCCGGAAGCCGCGGTTCCTCGGCCACCCCGTGCACCGGCACCGGGCGCGCGTCCCGCGCGCGCACCGCGTGCTGCAGCTGCCGCCGCCGCTCGCCGCGGCGGCCTACGCCGCGCTGCTCCCCGCGGCGGCGGCGGCGCCCGAGTTCGTCCCCGCCGACCTCCCGGCGCTCCTCGCGCACAAGCTCACCCGCGGCACGTACCTCGCCGTCGAGCGGAGCCCCGGCGCCGGCGCGCCGTCGTCGTTTGCGGTGCTCAGCGTGTACGACGCCACGCGCTCCCTCAGCTTCCGCGTCGGCGGCGCGCCGCCGCTGCTCCGCGCGTCGCTCGCCGCGGCGCGCGCGCTCGACCGCCGCGCGCCGTGGCTGCGCGTCCCTTCCGTCCCCGACGTCTTCCGCCCCTTCGGCGCCTACCTCCTCTACGGCCTCCACATGTCCGGCCCGGCGGGCGCCGCGCTCCTCCGCACGCTCTGCCGCCACGCCCACAACGTGGCGCGCAACAACCCGGCGTGCGCCGTCGTCGCCGCCGACGTCGCGCCCGACGACCCGGCCGCCGCCGCCGTGCCGCACTGGCGACGCTTCTCATGCGACGAGGACGTCTGGTGCATCAAGAAAATCACGTCCGTCGCCGCCAACGGCAATGCCGCCCCCGCCGCCGGCGACGACGACGACTGGACGACGGCGCCGCCGTCGTCCGTCCTGTTCGTGGACCCTCGGGAATTCTGAAACTCCATTCAGTTTTGGTATTCTGACGACGTTGTAAATACATCACCATACATGACGTGTGTGAGCTGCAAGCTTTGCAAATGGATGCAAAAAAAAAAAAAGAAATTCATTGCAAATTTGCAGCTTGGAATATAGATAAAAAAAAATTACACCCCAATAGTGTAGTAAGTTCAATTAGCACTTGCCTCCTACTAAGTCTAAACCCTGAAGATTCCATCATCAAAATGGACCAGATTAACTGTGTAACAAGAGAAAAATAACACATGTGCAAATCACAGATTCAGACAGCCTGTGCTTGGGTCCTCTCTTGCTGTCATCAATCAGAAAATTCAAAGGGAACAATTACATCTGAAGAATTCTCTGGTCTGAAAAAAAAAAAGAACTATCATTGACTGAATGAGTAAAGTTTCAGAAAGCAAAGGATAATAAAAAATGGGTGTGATTACTTATATTGTAGCAATTTTTTCATCTTGCACAAGATCACATATGATATATTAAATTCATACATCCCAGGATTTTTTTTTAAAAAAAAAGAAACTTTCAGACATCAATTTGATGGGGCCAGTTAAACTAAGTCCATAGAAGAAAAATATCCATTTTAGGATCACATCGTACCAACCCCATATGGCATGAAAAGGAACTCAAATTCTAATCAGTAGGCCCTGGACAAGGCCCTCATAAACCTAATCATAACTTGGATTTTCTTCAGACAATAATACCAGATACAAACAACATACAAACAAAAGAACAAATAATTATGTTCATAACCTAGTGTCCTCCTATTTTTCCTCTAAAACCTGGATAAGATCATAAGAAGCAAAGTCATGACCACTGACAGATTGATTCCTCTAGCATCGTCCACAGAGTGTAGCCAAGAATAGCAAAGAAAAACAAGAGATAGTTTGGAGGAAATGAAATAACCTGTATGAAAGATACTAGATAACAATATGATGTTTAAATGGTTAGGAATACGATATCAAACAAGCGAGGAAATGCGATGGTCTAAGGGGAACTACATGACATTTTTTTTTCACCGGGAGTAAGGGAGTATTAGTAGCGACAAAAGGACATAAGGGAGTATTAGTAGAGACAAAAGGACAAGTTTAAAAGTCAACATTGAGGTGCATATAAATCATTTTCTTAGTGACATCAGAACAGAATAAAAGATATTCTGTTTGTATCAAGACAAAAGTGCAATTGTTTATGTCAGATGTCATGTAAAATTTATTCAAACTATTCAAAGAACATTCTTTGATATTTTTTGGTCTAAAGAACTAACATAAATAGGAGGCTACAAATTAAAGACACAAAAGCATATTTGTTGTTGGCTCTCATATGCAGACTGAGAATAACTTATGACTAGGTCCTGACACCATACCTAAGCCTAATGAAGACCGCAATGTGGACATGGAATACGCATAATCATTCCAATCTGCCTGCATGAAACTATGCGCTGAATTCTAGATTTCTAAAAACTACAATTTGCCAGAGATAAAAAAAAACGTCCAATCAGCTAGTGATCCACTTGAGCAAAGAAGAAAAGATCTTATTAGAAAAGTTAGACAAAAAAGAAGATGCAACAACAATACCCTTTAATTGGCCTTGCTGGTGCATGAGGAATGTACTGAAGTTAAGAAAGCAAATGACTAGGAAAAATAGTAGATTTGCTGGAAAGAATCAGGAAAATGAGAAGGTGCCAAGGTGGCACCAAGTCATCATTAAAGAAATATTATACAGTGGATGATAATGTTTAGTCCCAAGACATTGTAAATTATGCCCAAACAGATAAATAAACTATTTTCTGAAACAGTAATTTACTAGAGAAGACTACTCACAATAATGCAAAAATATATACCACTGGTACTCAAACTCACCACCAAAACAACTCCCCTCCTGTCACATCCCACTTCATCTGTCTTGACACAACGTGGAGCGATGAAATTAGATCAGTGGCAGTCAACATTAAGAAAAGAATGAAAATAGTTCAGTGGCAGTCAACATTAGGAAAAGGATAAATTATTTCATAAACCACCTACGCTGTCAAAAGCAATGCCTGTCAACTAAGTTTGGAATGCCTCATATCTAGTCCTGTCCAGTCAGCATTCAACATGTTTAAACCAAGTTGAACAGTAAACAAGAAGCACATTTGATGCTGATATTCATATCGCAGGGCATTTAACGACAATATAAGTCTCCATCAGGAGGCAGGACGATAGTCCACATGAGCTAACCTCTAATCAACTGTGTGCTTTAGCTATGAGATATGGAACAAAAGTAACCGGAGGACTTTCCAGCACAAGGAGTTGCCGGCGCTAACTCTGCTAGCCAAGATAAAGGAGGAAGAAAAACATGGGGGTTGGCGGGCGGAAAAAATCTCGCCGCCTGGTTGACAATGTAACTGCCTATAGTTAGGGCCACGGCCCTGTTTTTTTTTTCCTGTACCTTATCCTTTTTGTACAGTTTTCGTCTCCTCTATTCAATGAAATTGGCAGCCTCGTCGATTCGTTCAAAAAAAATAAATAATCAACTGTGTGCAATTTTCATTTGCATTTATATTCATCAGTTAGACCAGGGCAGGAAGGCCACCCATGGAATCACATGAGAAAACCACATGAGAGAAGTCACCTCTACGAGAGGTGAAATCTTGGAGCAGAGAGGAGGGGAAACGGACCTGGATGCTGGGCTTGGCATTGCCGGTGGCGTCGCTGCTCTCCTCTCCACCCTCCGGGCTCCTCTCCGGCGGCGGCGTCTTCCGCAGCGAAGACCTGCATCCCCGGTGCGATCCAAGCTTCGACCGCCGCCGCTGCCATGGCCGTTGCTGGTCGGAGAAGAAGGGGGGAGACATGGAGGCCCAGGCCCAACAAGAGTACGGCCCAATTTAAGGAGGAAGAAAAAACTTTTTGGCATTTCAATTTGCTGTCCACATCATGCAGGAGGATGGAATGGATAATTGGATATGCATATCAAATCAGAAGCAAATTCAATTGCCTTGTACACAACTCAGATGAACAAGTTGAAATATTTATTCAAGAAAAACTTAGTTGATGTTAAGGGAAGCTTGAACAGAAATGCTACTACCAAGAAGTAGCACAAAACTATGGTGATATAATAACAGGAGTTACAGATTGTTACAGAAACTGGAGTTGCAGCATCTTTGCTGGGAATTCACCAGGCCCTCAGTATCAGCCACCACAGTTAGGTAGGATGAACCTTTTGGGTTGCAGATCATTGCCATCAATCTATGGGCCTGTTTGGCACAGCTCCAGCTCCAGCTCTACCCCTCCTGGAGCTGGAGCTCAGCCAAACAGTTTCAGCTCCACCAAAACTGGGAGTGGAGCTGGGTGGAGCTCTCTCACAAAATGAACTAGAGTTGTGGAGCTGGGTTTAGGCAGCTCCACAACTCCACTCCAGACCCAACTCTTGGAGCTAAATTTAGGAGTTAGAGCTGTACCAAACAGGCCCTATATGTCTCAGCTCCGAAAACGGAGATGAAGAAAGATCCAAGATACAGTACCGGAAATTCTACAGCAAGTCACCGCTGTTAGCTGTTCTTGATGGATTTCCTCATGCCACATTCAATAAGTCTATTTATATGTGCTTACATAATTGTGTTCATCATATTTGCAGCTGAAAATATTTTGGCGAATCAGTCAAGACGGCGGAGAAGATACTCAACTTCAACATCCTTCGTCAAAGGCATTACCCACAGATCATATAGCTTAGATAGCACTTCAGGATTAACTTTGCACTCACTGTCACCTGCATTGCCTTCTTGCTTGTCAGCATTGTCCTCCAAAGTGACATTCTGACCAAATATCCTGGCCTTCTTCTCTACTCTCCTTTTCACCTTCTCTTCAACCGCCTTGAATGTTAGCAGATTCATCAGAGCCTTGGTATCCTGTTGAAAAGAGAGGGATATAATAAATTAAAGATCAGCTTCAAAAAATAAATTAAAGATTTAAAGGCCCAATGCTAGCAGCCTAGCAGGCAGTTCCTACCAAGAAATGGAGTGTATGCAGGAGTTAAACATCTAACACATGAAACTAAGTAGAAGCTAGATAAGAATGAAGCTAATCAGAATAAGACCAAGGAGTATTCACAATTTCTATAAATCAACCGTTTATTGCAAGATGTTTAAGAAAATTTGGTGTAGTGAGTATGAGATGTTAACTAAAAACAACCTTTGCACGGATTAGTGGACTATAATCTTGGGAAGCATCTTTGAACTTCACCTCAGCAACATATTTACCAATATGAATTCTTCTTGACAGGGCCTACAAAGAAATGATCAATACATTTCACAGATATACACTGATTGGAAACAATTTACCATTAATTTGCAATAATTTGTGCAAATTTTGCTTTCGCGTGCTGAAAGATTGAAAGAACATATCCTAGTAGCAACTAGATTTATGTTTTTTTTAAAGAACGACCAAATTGATGGAATATCTAAAAGAAACAATAAACACAGAACATGTACCTTCAGACATGCAAAATCTAATGCAACTGTTTCTGCATAGTTACCATCATCTCCATCCACAGTGAATAGTGGAAGCAACTCGTTGAAATACATCTTCCATATTGCATCATTCACACTGACTGATGATGCAAAAGAGTGCAAAACCTAACAACAAAGCAATAAAAACTCAGAACCTCAACAATCATTAGTCATCAGTTCATTGTAACTAATATTGTAAAGCTTAGTATTTACCTTTGGGTAATCTTTGGTAGGAAATAGAGGTGAAGGGAGATCTTGGGGAAAGAATGGAACATCTTCTGGCTTTTGGTATTGTCCGGCCTATCAGATTTCACAGATGTAATTAGATTCTGTAGAGGGATGCTTGGAAATGGTAATATGCTAATATCTGACTGTCAACATAGCTATACCAATGCTGTATTTTATGTTGATTGATTTTGACAGTTTTAATAGGATGCTGGATAAGATATACAAGTTGAAAAATAGCATAACAAAATTTCCCATTTAGTAAAGTACAAGAAAAATAATAGTAAATCATTTATGTTTTCTATTATTAATAGGGGATGGTACGGTTCAAACTTTTTTTCTCCATCGTCACTATTTTTCCCTTCTGATCACTTTCACTTGTTGAATGATCCGTAAATGGAAGTGCCTTTAAAACACATGATTTACCTACACATGTAGCATAGCCATTCTTTTGTTAATATAAATCTCATCCGATACTGTGTGTCCGTTCGAGGTACTCAAAATGAATTCGTCAAGCCAACATAAGCCGCAATGCCGCATGATTACCAGAATGGACATATCAGCATCTTACCCTCCGATGCTATCTTTCAATTCATCATGGTACAGTGGAGACCAAGGTAGATAAACTACTGCCAAAAAAACAATGTGGTAACGAAATACAAGCCTAGCCTGTAAGATCTGTGTGACTGAATTTCACATACGAATTCCTCAGCCATGAGTTTACTAATCACTAAGGTGACTGAATAGAAAGATTGGCCTCAGAAATTTCACCAGGCAAAAAAAAATCTTCCTGTACAAGTTCATCATGGCTATGCTACACTACAACATGGTATAAAAAGGATCGATTTTGGTAAAGAAAACGTAAGGGGATCTAGTTGGGCAGGATACTGAATCATGAATCAATGGGGAGTCAAGACTCAAGAACAACGAGAGGTGGCGGGCTTACCTTGGCGTGCAGAACCTCGGCTTCCCGGACGAAGAACTCGGCGAGGGATCGGCCGCCGGCGGCGGCGGCGGCCGCGTATGCCGGCGCGTTGCGCGGGCGCCTGGCGCGCTCGATGAGGGCGAAGACGATGGAGTCCTCCTCCCGCACCAGCGCGTCGCGCACCGCCGCCAGGCTCAGCTCCGCCTCGCCCATCGATGATCTCTCGATCCGCCCTGTGATGACTGATGAGCTCGCGAGCTAAGGGAAAGCTGCTGCTGCTGATCCTCCACAGCTCCACTCTGCTTTGCCAGTGGTGCCACTCTCCTAGGGGCCTCTTTGGCTTTTTTCGTATTAAGCCAAAACGACTTATTAAAGAATAAAAATAAATTTATAGGTAAAACTTTTATATATGTGTTCTTGGTGACTTAAAAGTCAATGCTGAAAAAGAAATTACGTTAAAAATATCTCAAAATCAATGTCAAAATTAAGTTTAAAAATTTAAATTTTTGCTTTTTCTTTGGCTGAATAGGTCATCCGATGGGAGCCCTAGTGTGTTGTTCACATGGCAGCGATTTTTTTATTTATTTGTTCAAACTTTCTAATAATTATTTATCATCTCTTATTATAAAGTTGTAACCCACTAACTACTAAATATTAATATGCAAAGATGTCATATCACTATCCACTAACAATCATTAAATTTAAACATCATGCAAACATGCTATATTATCTATAATTTTATAATTTATTAAATTTTTAGAGCTTTCAAAATGCAAGCGTGTTAAATCATCATCCCACATAATTCATATTATATTTCAATATATATCTTCATTATTTTTATAATATGCTATGTACCTATATAGTTCATCCTCTCTTAGTTAATGTTATTTCTTTTTTCTCTGATTAAGTCATATATCATATCAATTATTTTTAGTGCTTAAAAGATTAATCTATGGTCCAACTTATCTCTCATTTTCTTCTCTCATTAATCCATATCACCTTAATTAATTTTAGCCTTTAGATGATTAATATACTGTCCAAACTATCTCAACATTTTTCTACTTTCATAAAATCATAGCATCTTACTTTTACATTTGAATTATCATTCTATATATTATTTAAACTTAAATTATCATAAACCATGTTAACTTACATAATCTTATGTTGTTTAGCTATTTGACACATTATTTTTACTTATTATTATCCCCGCAGCAACGCGCGGGGTTTCAACTAGTTTAAAAAACAAATTCCCCCAAAATACTTATTTTTAAATCTGACTTTTTTTTTCACACTGAAGTAGTCAGCATAAAACTGACACGTGTTATTTTGCCACGTCAGGATAGTGTGGCAAAATGTTCATATTTTTAAAAATAAAATTTGATATGTTTATTTTTAATATTTAAAAGGTAAAATAAATTCGGGAAAGAAAAAAATGAGGCACTTTTCTGGTCTTTGCCACTAGTACTCACCAAAGTGACCAAAGTATATATAGTAAACCAAAAAAGCCAACCAACAAACATCTGGATGATGTTTCCTTCACTGTCAGCGCCAAGCACTGAGAATTTGAGTCTGAGACAGCACTCCAACCAACCAAATCATTCTCCGCCAAATCAAAGGTGCACTTGCGGGGACCTGGGATTAGGGGGGCTTGTGGATTGCATCCATTCTCAACCTTAACAACAAAAAGGAAAAATTGGTAATGGCAAAGTAGTAATGGGTCCATTTGGTTTGATGTCAAAAATATTGGCAAGGAACCAAACTTTGCCATTGTACTTCTTGGGGTCTTCCCATCCTATAGGATTTATTTGGCAAAGCTTCTCCTTTAGCTTCATCTCTCCTCTAGCTAAAACTGAACCAAACAATTTTAATTTCATCTAAAAGCGAAGTGGAACAAGCTAGAGTAATCTTAAAATAAACTAGAATGATAGAGTAGAGTTTGGACCACTCCACTGCTCCATTCTAAACTCCGCCCCTAAAATTATTTTTAAAATTTTAGGGCTACCAACACTCATAATGTAAATGGAAGTAGTTCTTTTTACGTAAAGTTAAAGGGACATCCATCCCTGTTAGGTAGGACCCACTCTCATGGGTGCACGTGTCAGAGACACGTATCCCTCTAACTTGCATCGATGAGTGTGTATATATTTACTATAATCATAGTACTTGCTCAGGAATAGATGAAAATGCCTTGAAAAGATGAACTGAGTAACAGTCTATTGGTCCCGTTAATAATTGGAATCAGGGTGCACGCATGTAGAAAGCAATGTTTCACTTGGGGCCAATAAGGAGCTAGGCCAATTTGTTAAGCAAATAATGAATTGTCGTTAAAAGATTTGGTAATTAGTTTCTCTCCGTTCCAAAACACATATAATGTTATTCTAGTACTTTGCACATGTCAAAAGGTTTAGTTTGGTTTAACTCGATCGCGTTGCTATCAAATCTTTGAAGTGTCCATACTTGAATAGTTTTTTGCATTACCAGAACTTGGTAGAGTGTGTTAGTTGGATGTATCACCAAATTGAGTTGATTCGACATTATTCCATTTGCTAAGCGCAAAAGTTTGGTATGATTGCTATCTGCTCTACTCAAATAATCCTTACCTACCTACTAATATTTCCTACTTCCCCGTCAAGAGAAAAAGCCTAACTTCTAACCATAAATCTGGACATAACCTATGTTCATATTTGTAGGCAGAACTTTTTTTTTTGGGAATAGGGTATATGTAGCAAACCAAATCAATCTTTTTTATTATTGAGTCACTTATCACTCTCTGATGATCAATCGCGGGCAAAAGAAAAAAAATGTTAGGGAGATAACTAGGAATAAAGGTCAAAATCTAAAAGAAATATCTGCTCCGCTCCCCCTTCAAATATGTCTGAAACACGGATATAGTATAGTTGTATAGAAATCTGATGGATATGAATGCGGATGCAAATAGAATGGTGTGAATAGGAATACGAATATAGTATCTCTAGATCCAGTGATCCAGATTATTAGATATTTCTACCGGGTTATCCGATAGGCCATATGCCGGATAATTTAAAATTGTCAACCCACGTAACCGCTAGATCTGGTTACATACAACACGAGCCATCACATCATTTATCAATTAACCTAGACTCCTTAGTCTGAGGCTCTTATCGTCTCATCTCACACTTGTGTAGCTACGTTTTTATATTATGGAGACTATGTATTCATGTTATTTAACATTTAAGTATATAGTTATTACGATATATTATCCATTAATTAATATAGTGTTGCCTATTGTATTGCTAAATTAATGTTATATTGATTATATATACATGTAACATCCAACAATTATAATCTGTTTTTGAACTGGGTCTTCACCGACTCCGACATCCGAAAGAAACCGCTCCACGTTTGTAGCTTGAAGTATGATAGTCTAACCATAGTGTTATGCGAAGATCATGCACTGCCTAACCATGTTGTGCTCCTCGAGTAGAAGGGACTACGCGCCGTTAAAAAAAATCATAATGTTGTAGTTATATTTTGCTATTTGACTGGTATGATGTACTTCCTCCGTAAAAAAAAGAGAGAGAATCTATTTTATACCACTGAGTTTTTTCGAGTTCAACGATTTGCCATCAATATTGTCGTTTTCTATAATATACCGTTGACTTTATCAATTGTTTTACAATACACTATTGGGCTAGGCCTTCTTTTGAAAAATACCCAAAATACCCTTATGGACATACAGTGTTAACAATTGATTTACCTAATTTGTTGTTTCAAAAAATATGAAAACTTTTATGTGGCCTCCTTACACAACATGGAAATTTGTATAGAAGTTTCAACTTTTTTATTCTATTTTTTATAAAAGATATAACTTATTTGTTATATGCTATATAAAATACCTTTTTATTGTTGTTTTTAATATAAATCATCTTTCATAACACTACATAAGATATTTTTGTGCTATTATGTCTTGTATAAGCAAATTCTCTCTCATATACCCCATAAAAATATTTTTTTTCTAAAAAATAAATATAAAAAAAAAACTTAAAACTTGTATATAAACTTCCATATTGTGTAAGGAGGCCACATAAAATTTTTATATTTTTTTGAAACTTTTTATGAGATAAATCAATTGTTAATCTTATATCTCTCTAAGGGTATTTCGGGTATTTTTGAAAAGAAGGTCCAGCCCAACAATGTATTGTGGACCAATTGATAAAGTCGTCAGTATATTATAGAAAGAGACAATGCCGATGACAAATTGTTGAACTCGAACAAACTCAGTGGTATAGAATAGATTTTCTCTAAAAAAAAAACCTACATTAAAATCAGATGTGGCAGTACAACATTCTGAAATTTTACATTTCAATATAGGTTAGGTCTTTTTGAATGAGAAGATTATAAGCGTGTTTTAAGGATGGAGAGTATGCTAATCTGGACATAGTTTATATCTAAGTTCGTAGTTAAAAGTTTTTTTTGAGAGTGTAGCTACTAAGTACTAGTAGCATGCAATTAATTAATTTGTTGGGCATGGCCCAACACACACACACACACACAAAAAGGGCTTGCTTGGTTCTGAGCCAATTTTTGCCCTACCAAAATTTTGGTAGTACTAAAATGTTGGCAAATTTCGATACTACCAAATTGAGTAGGAGTAGTATTCAATTTAAACTATTGTGGGTAAATTTGGTAGCAAACCAAACATGCACTTGCTATTATTGAAGTTAACAAAATTTTAGTAGGGTAATAAATTGGTATCAAACCAAACAAGCTCTAAAGTCAAACTTTTACTTGTATATCATGTAGAAAAGGACGAGAGGTTAAAAACAATTGCTTACGGGCATGCAAATAGTGTACTACTCCCTCCAGTTTTATTTTAATTGACGCTTTGGACAATGACACGCTCTACAAAATATACCTTTGACCCTATTTTTCTATTATAATATATACAATAAATAAATACTTGTTTATTTTTATTATAGTGTTTTGAAAGACAAATCTATATATGTTTTTCTAGTTTCTTTAAACTAAATATTTTTAAAGTTATTGATGGTCAACGTTATAAAAGTTTAACCTCAACATTGTCCAAAACGTCAATTATTATAGAACCAGAGGGAGTAAATCAGTACTAACATGCAATTAATTAGTGCATTGAAATTTGGCAAACACAAAAGTCAGCCACCTAGCACCAGCAATCGGATGTCATTAGAAAAAGTTAATTGGATCCATGCCACTATAATAAGAGGTTGAAACAATGGCGTCCACGTGTTGAATGTTGATAGTCTTACTAAAATTTGGTACTGCATAGTGTGGTTGAAATGTGTAGGTTGTACTTCCTTAGTTGTCCGACTTTTTTTAGTCAAACTTTTTACGTTTGACCAAATTGTTAAAAAATATACTAGCATTTGCAATACAAAACAAACATATTATCAACACATATTTAATATTAAATTTAGTGAAAATAATTTATTGTTGTAAATATTGCTATTTTTTTTATAAACTTAGTAAAACCTAAAAAACTTTGACTATTTAGGTTACCATCTTTGTCAAGTTTTTATAAGAGAGATTTTAGAATTACTGAACTTTGATAATGAAGACAGTTCTTATAACGTTTAAATTGTCACCTTGTTAATATTTCATAAAGCCAAAATAGGGTTGAGTTTGGCAACAAATTGATCAGCTCCTAATTACCATTCCGTATAACCTTACATTTGATGTGCAGCGTCAGATATGCAAATGGTAAGTATTACTACCTCCTTTTCATAATATAAATATACTTTTGTGGTTTTTAAATATATTTGGACATTTCATTAAAAATGCATAGAAATATTTGTACTATTTTTTTCTTTTCAGATTGGTAGTATGGGATAGCTATATTTTAAAATTATTAGGGGAATATTTGGGGACGAAGTTTCAGAACTAGTAGCATGCAATTAATAAACTTTTTGAAATTGTGCAAATGCAGAAGTCACATGTACCTGCTGCATTCGTCTGTCAAGTAGAGAAGGATGAGAGGCTGAAACAACAGCGCCGACGTGTCGTCTCTAATTACCACTCGTAAATTTTACCGATCTGATGATGCGGAAGTGCTAATCGGGGATCGATCGCTTGGGCACAGGGCTAGCGATCAATCCCCCTCCCTCCTAAACCTGATTTTCTTTTTTGGCACCACATTACTTTTCTATTTTAGTAAATTTATGCACCTAAAATTTATACACCTCAAGTTTATACATCTAAAATTTAGAGACCAAAAGTTTATATATCCGATTCAAATTTGAATTTGAATTCAAATATTTTTTTTATATATAGTATTTCTATACATCTAAAGTTTATAGATCCAAAGTTTATAAGTCAAAAGTTTACATGCCCGATTCAAATTTGAATTTGAATTATATCGGGATTCAAATTTGAATTTGAATTCAAATATTTTCTATATATAGTATTTCTATGCACCTAAAGTTTATACACCTAAAGTTTATAGATCCAAAGTTTATAAGTCAAAAGTTTACATACCCGATTCAAATTTGAATTTGAATTATATTCGTTCAAATTTGAATTTGAATTCAAATATTTTCTATATATAGTATTTCTATACATCTAAAGTTTATAAACTTTAGTTTATAGACCCAAAGTTTATAAGTCAAAAGTTTACATGCCCGATTCAAATTTGAATTTAAATTCAAATATTAGTTTATAGACCCAAAGTTTATAGGTAAAAAGTTTACATACCTGTTTCAAATTTAAATTTGAATTTGAATTCAAATATTAGTTTATAGACCCAAAGTTTATAAGTAAAAAGTTTACATACCCATTTCAAATTTGAATTTTAATTCAAATTTGTATAGTGTAGTAGTAAGAGAAGAAGGGGATGTAAAGTAGTAAGGGGGAGGGGTGGGTGATCGCTTGGGAGGGGAGGGAGCGATCACCCGCCCATTAGGAGTACCCGATCTGATGCGTATATTAGAGTTCTGTGACGCTAATGCATACTCCTCGGTCCTAAAATAAACCAATTTTTAAGATTTAAAATTATTTTAAAATAAATCAATTTATACCTTTTTACCTACCATTGGTTGGCAAATCAAGAATTGTCTTTTCAATGCCCCTCACCAACCCCCTCATCAATATAAGTTTACTATTAATTAAGGGCATTTTGGTCATTTGTCTCTTTTTTTTTCTTGTATCTATCTTGGGAAGTTTGTGGGAGTATGCAAGGATATTATTTTAACTTAATCAAATGACCACGTGCTCTAGTATTTTAAATAATTACTCGTAGTAATATCTGCGGCCATTATTAATTTGTTGGAGCTGTGGAAAGGGACGAAATTGCAACATCTAGCGTGAAGCAAACGAGTAGCAAAGCATAATAGTTGTTGGCATTATATTGAGCACATGACCCTTGGCTGCCAAATTCAATTTATAATTCTACTATAGCAATTGATTAACACGCTAAATAAGCAAGTACTACTACTACAACAATCCTAAAATATAACCTCTCTTTATGTTTTCTATCTAGCTATATAAAAACATTGATTCTTCTAATTTCTTTTAATATATAATTATTGTTGATACTGAATAATTGAATTAGCCATTTCCAAACAGATGCTACTCTTTCATAAAATACACTCCCTTCCTTCTAAACAGATTATGACGGATCCTTGTGATAATTTTGAACGGAGAAATATATAAGATACAAATTAGTACTACGAATGTAGACATACCCCTTATAAATATCAGTTTATCCAGATTCATGTAGATAGGTGATGCCTAATCCAATATTGTTTGCTATAATATAATATTATGATACTACCGAGGAAGTACTGTTTTGGCCCGTTTCCTTCCGTTTTCATGCTGGTCTCGAGTGAGAGTCGGTCGGTCAGAATTCACACTCTGAAACACACGCCGGTCGCCGTCGTCAACGTTGGTCTTGGGCACCTCGCGTTTCACACTTTTCTTCTGTACCATTTCGCCGAGCTTTACCCCGCGGCTCGTATATAAATCCTCTCGATCTGACGCGGATTCTGCTCATTCCAAATCGAATCCACCAACATCCCCCCCCCCCCCGGCATTGATCTCGCCTTCATCCTCGCGCGATTCTTGCGAGGAATTCGATTCCCGGCGATGGCCGCCGCCGTCGTCTGCGTCACCGGCGCCGGCGGGTTCATCGGGTCGTGGATCGTCAAGCTCCTCCTCGCCCGCGGCTACGCCGTCCGCGGCACATCCCGCCGCGCCGGTATGGGTTTTTTTCTTTTTGATTCTCCGCCGCCTCGCCGTCGCCGGCGGCGGCGTGGATTGGGAGGTGACGAGCTCTTGGATTCTTGCGCAGATGACCCGAAGAACGCGCACCTGTGGGCGCTCGACGGCGCGGCAGAGCGGCTGACGATGGTGAGCGTCGACCTGCTCGACCGTGGCAGCCTCCGCGCCGCCTTCGCCGGCTGCCACGGCGTCATCCACACCGCCTCGCCGATGCACGACGACCCGGTAAACCACCAATCCCCCCCCTCTCTCTCTCCCCCAAAGAAATGGTGACGTCATGGTGGTGGCGCAGGAGGAGATCATCGAGCCGGTGATCACCGGGACGCTGAACGTGGTGGAGGTGGCCGCCGACGCCGGCGTGCGGCGGGTGGTGCTCTCCTCCACCATCGGCACCATGTACATGGACCCTCGCCGCGACCCCGACTCCCCCCTCGACGACTCCTTCTGGAGCGATCTCGACTACTGCAAGAACACCAAGGTCTGCACCCCAACGCTACATTTTTTATCCCCTTTCTCTCGCAATGAATACATTTATTTTTTTCAATCCCCATTTCTTGCAAAGATTTATTTATTTTTTGTTAATCCCCAATACCTGCAAAGATGGGATTTTTTTTTTTTTTTTGCAATCCCCATACTTCCATTGATTGATTTTTTTTTTCAATCCCCATTTTTTTCTCTCATACAAGTTGTGCAATGGAATGAAATGGCAGAAGACTCTGAATTTTTATTTTCAATCCCCATTCCTCGCAAAGATTGGGGTTTTCTAATCCCCATTTCTTGCATTGCAAAGATTGAGATTTGGATACTTTAAATCCCCATTTCTCGATCACCTGCGAATCAACAAATGTGCAAATTGCGATGATGGAATGGCAGAATTGGTATTGCTACGCGAAGACGATAGCGGAGAGGAAGGCGTGGGAGGTGGCGAGGGGTCGGGGGGTGGACATGGCGGTGGTGATCCCGGTGGTGGTGCTCGGCGAGCTGCTGCAGCCAGGGATGAACACCAGCACCAAGCACATTCTCAAGTACCTCACCGGCGAGGCCAAGACGTACGTCAACGAGTCCCACGCCTACGTGCACGTCGTGGACGCCGCCGAGGCCCACGTCAGGGTGCTGGAGGCGCCGGGGGCCGGCGGACGCCGGTACATCTGCGCCGAGCGCACCCTGCACCGCGGCGAGCTCTGCCGGATCCTCGCCGGCCTCTTCCCGGAGTATCCGATCCCTACAAGGTACTTTTGTTTTCTTTGATAATGGATTAAACCGGCCTCTACATCCAAACTGGTACTAACAGCAATTCTGATTGATCTTTCTGTTTCATACCAAGGCTGTATTCATAAGGAATTTTGTGATTGTTGATCAATTTTTTTTAGCTATGTTCGGTTGCTCGATTTTTAGCAATTGCAGAATGTCAACTTGTCAAGTAGCCAAATATGCACTCATGCTGACAGCTATGTACTACCAAAGGCAGTAGGGACTAGAGAGTTTGAGAACTAGTATTTCCCATGGTTTGCAATTTGCTTTGTCAGAAAGCCAGTAGTCAACTAATCTGGATTGCACAATTAGGATGTGTTTGGTTGGGTGTATGATAGTTTTCCTTCTATCTAGAAAAAAGAAAAGGGAAGACATGGGTCTTTCTCCAAAACTCTACCTCTGCATTATATGATAGTATTCTGAAATTCTTAATATCGAAACTGAAGAACTACTGCACTAGTGACTTGCCATGAGGTACTTGAATCTCAGGTTAGTCAGTGGCTTGAAGATCATTTTAGAATGCCATGGTTAGTACTTTGGATAACTCAAACTATGAATCGCAGTGGAAATTATTCTTTCCTTTTACTGTGCGCCTGTGCGTAATAAAGCCCTCCTATATTTCCTTGTGATGGCAATTTATTGTTGTGGACAAAATAGAAAGTGGTATATGAATTCTGAAGACACAACAATAGCTTTCCTTTGCTTGAAAGACAATAACACGATTGTTTTCAAGATATAACATATGTGATGTCTGAACTCCGCAATTCCTTGTAGATTACTAAACAATGTTTTTATACTTAGTGGAATACATTCTGGTTGATGCCCAATCTAATCTGTTACATGTTACTTCTACAGGTGCAGGGATGAGATAAATCCACCAAAGAAGGGCTACAAGTTCACAAACCAACCTCTGAAGGATCTAGGCATCAAGTTCACACCTGTGCATGAATACCTGTATGAAGCAGTGAAGTCCCTGGAAGACAAAGGATTCATCAAGAAGACCTCCAATACCAAGGTAAAAATCCAATCGCTTATCGATTAACTTCTTCTACATCTTAAGCAAAAGGAAAAGGTGAAATTGGAAAAAAACAACCATATGATAGCATAGATACTCATATTTATGATCATTAGCAGAATGAGGAAGGAACATTCTGAAAAATCCATATCAAATATAAATAGCTGGATGAAACAACTTTTTTTTTCCGATTCTGACAAAAATGATCACATACATATCCCTGATGGTATCTTGATTATTGCAGGAGCTTCACAGGCAAAGTTCTCCCCCTCAAAATTCACCCGCGAGCATGCTGATGTCGAAGCTTTGATAGGTTTCTGAAGAAATCCCTTTTGACCGACGGCTTATCTCAGAGTTTACATAGCTCACTAATTTGATTCAGTTCGATATCTCTGGCAAATTGCCAATTTCTGGGAGTTCATCCTAAAAGCAGATAATAAGAACAACCAATGTGTATATCATCAGGGATATGAGTTGAATTATTAAAGGATGCTTCAGATAAGGTTATGTGGAAAAACTTGGTATACATTGTTGATAGATATATACAACATATACACTATTGTGATCATGAGGCAATCCTTATACATACAGAAATCAAAACAAATTAAATAAAAAAGCATAACTGTACATTGGAGGATACAGAGAAAAGATTTTGTAGAGACAGGAAGAACATAAACACGATATCTGGAGGCTAACAACATGCATCCATCTAGAACTCGTGTATACTAGTATAATCTGTGCTTCGAGCCTTCGATCAGTTCCAATTTATTCAACAGTGTCCGTCTCCAGCCGCGCCAAGATTGAGGCCCTGTTAAGATCATAGAACTTTCACATTACTCAAGTATCGTAGTAAAATTTATGTCTTGAATTTTGCAGCTGCGTATAATCTGAAAGAGAGAACGATGTAATGTGATGTACTAATGTCGATGAAGACCGTTGTCACACATATATATACCGTTATATCCCAACACTTTGACAACACAGTTTTTTTTTATGTCACATGGAAAATGATAGTTCTAAATCCTGCTAGATTAATTGGTCAACAAAATACTCACCACTGAATTTTTAACATATTTTACTTAATTAAAACGACAATGATCAGAAGTGACAGTGGTGACCGTAGCAATGCCTACAATAATATGACAGCTAAAAAGTAACAAAATACCATCCTAAGGCATTTCAAGGGGGTTTTTTTTTTAACACAAATTAAGGTTGAGTTGAAATTAGGGACATACTGATGAAGTTTACTTGATTCGGAAAAATAACGTCTGATGGTGTAAACCAAATTATGAATGAAATTTAAACGCTAAAAATATTTATATTTGTGAATGGAGGGAGGGAGTATCCGGCCCATTATCATCCACCCAAAAAAAACCACCCCTTACATTTTAAGGCACTTTTAAAAGGAGAAAAAGTTATTACAAAATGAAAAGAAAAATTACTATTGGTGAATCGATAGATAAGGGTATTAAAGTAATAAAACTTCTTAGTTTGTGAATTCGCACGAGCAGAAAGGGCACGGAAAAATAAAGGCCCTGTTTGGAGAGCTTAAGATTATAAGAAGCAGCTGGTTTGGTAGCCAGCTTCTCAGAATCTGAAAAAACTGGGTTTCTCAACTACAGCTTCTCAGAATCTGGACCAAAAGCTGAACTGTTTAGGGGAGCTTCTGACTCTGGAAGAAGCTGCAGCTGCTAGAAGCTACCTCAAACAGGCCCAAAGAAGCGTGGAGGAGCAGAAGCCAAGCTCATTCCCTTCGCTTCTTGGACCCAGAGCAGCTCTTTGTTTCAAGTGAGCAGCCAGCCCCCCTATTAATACGGTTGCTTTTTTCACCGGGTTGCTTAGCTTCTAAAATCCGAAAGGTTGATCGTGAAGGGAAATAGAAAAAAGTATTACTTTTGACTCACGCTGGACAAATTTTTTTTCTAGAGGGAAAATGAATTTGCAGTACTTTTTAAGGAATGGGTATTGCGGGTTTCAAGAATGGTTCCTCCGCACAAAGCCAATCCCATTCCTTTTCACTTGTGACCATCTTTTGCCTACCTATTTAACCCCTTAGACCTTAGACCTTAGTAATCCCAAGTCCAAGTACAAAGCTAAAAGAGCAAAAATCAATTTACTGTGGAATAGGGTATGAACCGTAGAAATTACTCTTCGTCCTAAAATATAACAATTTTTAGCACTTAGGATTTGTCTCAAAATCTAACAATTTCTCCACTAATATTCCCTTCCTAACCAATCACAACCCTCCATTCACTTTTTCCACATACCTCGACATTTCTCAACCAATCAGAACATCTCCTTATTTAATTTTACCTACTTTCTTAATAATCGTTTCTTATATTCTGGGACGGATGTTGTAAGTTATTCTTATTTTAGGACAAAGGGACTAGCTGTGTATAGCAACTTAATATTGGATTAGACACATCTTACTTCAATAAATTTAGACAGATGATATAAAATGTATATAATCCAGTCATATATTGCTATATTTTAGGACAAAGGATAAAAATGAAAATGTATGCTGGTATGGTACTATTACCTCTATTCTGAACTATAGGATGAAGTAGATATGAATTACCTGTGTCCTAAAATATATAGTTTTTTTTTAGAATTTAGGATGTTATTCCATACTACTCGTACGAATCTAGATGTAAATTGCAATTTAAGAAATGCCTAATTATAAAGTGATCTACCCGTGCACCTACAGCTGGATATCCATCATGCATTGAAGGATCCATTGATGCAGCATGGCTCACTTTCTTAGGTGATTCAGTCCGTATACTCTTTGACTGTGTCGACTACCAAATACCAAATTGTATTTTGATATTAAATTTAATGTTAACAGGAACATATATACTCCATAGTAAGTATCTTTGAGCCTAAAAGAGATTCAACAATCTAGGTATATATATGCCCAATATGTGAAAAATCTGAATTCTAGTAAAATGATAGACCTAGAGGCATCTTCATCTAGATAGATTTCTGCCAATATGTGAAAAATCTGAATTCTAGTAAAATGATAGACCTAGAGGCATCTTCATCTAGATAGATTTCAGAAAGATCTGAATTCCGGTCCACCCAACCAACATTTTGCATCCTTGCAGTAAGAAACAAGGGTAAAACTGAAATGTTGCTAAGGTATTTAGGGTCTGTTTGGGGAGCTTAAGATTCTAAGAAGCGGCTGGTTGGTAGCTAGCTTCTGAGATTATGTAAAAGATGGGTTTCCCAGCTTCTAGTTTATACTTTCTAGTTCATTTTCTGGATTTTACAACTACAACTTCTAACTTCTAATTCTAGAGAAGCTGCAGTAACTAGAAGCTCTCTCCAACAGACCCTTAATTACTACCAACGAAGCTCACACATAGTAACTACTCTTTCATCTCAGGTCATCACATCTCTTATTATTTTGTAACTTTACTTACTTCTTATTTTTAACTAATCATATCCTCATTTAATTTTAATTTATTTCTAAATCTCTATTAAGAAAAAATAAGATTGGTTATATTTTAAGAAAAAAATAAGAAAATAATCTCTCACACAGGAAGGCGTTCATGTTGGACAGGTTTGTGAGAACTGGTAGAGTGATATGTACGTACTGTCGCGTCACTTCATTGCGACCAATTCGCGGAACAGGTGATGAGCCAAGCAAAATGCTTCAACTATACAGACTAGAGTCTGAACTTTTGTTTTATTACTTTTTGGAAAAGGCTATATGAGTGGCTTGCTTTTTCTCGTGAAGAAAAAAATACTATCTATAACTATTCTTTTTCTAATTACTAAGAAATATGATCAAAACTAGTCGTGATATATAACCAGAAAGTTCTTCGTTTGTCCCAGCTTCTCCTATTGTTTATCCAGATTCAGCGGCGAGTTTATACAATTATACCTAAACTAGAGAAAATGTTCGTGCGTTGTAACGGGTGAAGGTTATTTTGATCTTATTATTATTATTATTATATTGTTTACTTAAGATAAATTTCGTTGTGTTAAATTCTTTTGGATATATATTTTATTAGAAAATCATGAGCTATAATTAGGTGTCCGATCGTCTCAAGTTAGTATGTGAGTTTTTAAAGAGATTTCTTATACGATTTCTTCTGTATTTCTAAAACCGAACGAACTTAAAAACCGACTCAAATACGGATTTGTATTTCCAAAAGCGAACGGACTTAAAACTCATATACGGATGATGTACCAAAATACTAGCAAAAACATCTTTAATTTTTTATAATAATAGAGATTAAGAAACCATATGCAACTAGTACTCTTGGACTATGTGTCATTCTTTAATTTCATCAGAACTAATAGAAACGGTTTGCATGTCTACACTTGAGCTCTTTCTCTACAAAATTATTTTGATATAAAATTAATGGCTAAAGTTCCAAAAGTTTGATCGAATATTGTCTCAAAAGTTAAAAATTTGTGACCAGAGGTAGTAATTGTTCTAGATCACATGCAAATCTATCCAATCCTACACAAAATTCCTTTTTCTAAGCTAGGTTACTCATCAACAGATACGGTAGCTAGCTAGCGACTGTTTGCCGTGAACCAGGAAACAGTAAGTTTCAGTTCTGATCGTGCAAAGCTGCCATCGATAGGTACCAACATTCAACAGGTAGGTACAAGAATTGAAGGGGAGTTTTATGAGCAAGTACGGACGTGCTCTTGCAAGAGCAGTGTACCATTAGAGCAGGTACAATAGCAGCAGGGTATAAGTTAGCTATAAATATATTTTAAAAAAATAAAAGAGAAGAGAAAGAAGGGCAGCGGGGCTACAGATTTGTAGCCAGCTACAGTATGGACTCTAAGATGCATGTGTGTATGACAGGTGGACCAGATATAAATTACATAGTATATGTTTATAAGTAACTATTGTAAGAATTAGCTATTAAATTAACTATATATGATTTATATATGATTTGTAGCCAGCACTTAACTATACTATTAATCATAAGAGATTTCTTAACAAATTATCTATCTGATTGATTCAGCCAATCCAAAGTCCAGTGCAATTAAAATGCATGCTATTCAATAGAGTTGGTTTTACAGTTGTCTGATACGTAGTACTTGATCCCTACTATGTCACTGAAAAATGAATCTAGGCTGTGTTTAGTTCCATGCTAAAATTGAAAGTTTGACTAAAATTAGAAGTTTGAAGAAAAATGTTGAAGTTTACGTATATAGAAAAGTTTTAATGTGATAGAAAAGTTGGAAATTCGAAGAAAAAGTTGGGAACTAAACAAGGTGTAGGATTGGATGTGACGCATCCTATCGCTACGAATTTGGATAGATGTATATCCAGATTCGTAGTAATAGTATGTGTCACATCCAGTATTATGCTGATTTTTTATGATTTTTTATGGGACAGGGGAGTATGTTCCACGTTACATTGTTGTATTGCAACTGATAGCCATTTTGTCTGATATATCGAGGAGAAACACTCAGGGGTCTTCCGGCTTCACAAGATGTTGGGTTAGAGGTTCGAGGTTACATCTCTTCTATTTATTTGATATCAGGTCTTTCTCTAATATTCACATTTTCTGATATCACTTCACATTTTCTGATATCACGAGGCTTTTACGGGATAGAAAATGCTGATAATTTTGACGTGAACGAGGGGAAATAACTCTGGGGAGTTTTGAACTTCAATCTCCTTTCTTTTCTCTTTTTTTTTTCATATTCCAACCATTGCCCTTAAAATGGGAAGGAAACTTTAAAAGTAGTTCATCTAGGAATGAAAGACGCTCCTCTCGCTCCAAAACAATAATAATACCGCCTGTTTATTAACTTATCGGATAAGTGGGACACGATAGAAAATAAATTAACAGGTTGTTTATGTTTTCTCTAAATAATTAATCTCACTCATGACTCACGTATACAATCTTCTTATAAAAACTGTAGTGAACTAGTTGATTAGATTCCTTACGGTAAAACTTATAGACCCGAGTTTACGTCTCTAATTTCTTACAGATTCTCTATAGCTAATTACTCTTTCAGTTAGTGATGACGTGTCCATTGACAGTGAAGCTCTATGATCAATCTTAAGATATGTTAGCATACTTTCTTGGAGTGTTTATATAAGTAGGATGTGAGTTTGATGTCTATTGGCATAAGTGTTTACGTCTACGTTTATACTGTATTTTGGAAAAATTATAGTTTAAATGTGGATACCGTTCTGGATATATAAATGGACCTATTTGACCACTACTTTATATTGCAATATATTTAAAACCTTATAAAATATAAAACTATAGTACTATTGTGTTGAAGTATTTTTTTAAGACGGATTTGCATGTATTATATCCTTATATCCAAACTAAATATTATAGTGCTTAAAAGATTTTTTCAACCATAAAAAAATGATATCTTTTCAATAAAAAGGAGATAAGAACTCCATCCACAATAAATATTCAATGTTAAGGACGATATTTGGTCCAATTTTAAAACTTTGACTCTTAATTTCTTCAATGCTTAGTTCAAAAATAAGAAAAATGGCGAAATGAACGTAGCTCAAGTCGTTAAGTTTCTTGTAGTGGAACCAGCCCACCCAATTCAAATCCTAGATTTAACACAGGTGCTCACATTCACAGCTAATTATTCTTTCAGTGATAGACGACGTCGACGTCGACAGCAACGTCTTTGGTGACTTCGTCAATATCAAATATACTGGCCTAATCTTCCGGATGTGCTCACCCGTGGTGACTTCGTCAATCTTAGATATGTGGACTCGGTCTTCTGGAGATGCTTATAGGGGTAGGATGTGCGTTTGTGCATCCATAGGAGTAAGTGTGCACGCGTTATGAGCACCTGCTTTTGTACCGTGTTTCTTAAAAAAATGATATGTATAGATTTGTCTTGAAATTATATTTAGAAATTTATTCTAATATAAAATTATTAGTTGGAGGTTTATCTGGTTCTAAACATCAAATATTTTTTAATTTATGATAGACTAGAAGAAGTAATTACCAATTTATAAGACATCAGGCCATTCAGTTTCAATGTCTAGTACGTATTTGGTTCATTTGCCGCTTCACCACGAGCGAGCATGCAGCTGAGTGGCAGTGGGTTTATAAGGGTTTAACAAAAGAATCGCACCGACAACTCTTGTTTATTTGTGTGCACCACAGACAACAATACAACATGCAACCAGAATGTAGTATATATACACTATAAATGTTTTTTTTTGAGATAGCGGTAGGTTAATGGCCAAAGTACGTTCTGGTTTGCATGCATTTGAAATTGTCATCTTTCTGAAAATAAATTGAGCAACATCATGTCGTAAAAGAATTTTCCAAGGCAGATCATAGTGAAGCTACCATTTCAATTCATAGCAAGGTACAAAATGGTAAGAGCGATCCCATTAACACATCATGAGTAAAAATTATAACCAAAGCCAATATTAATTATTCTCTGATAAAGGCATTAGTACCTTAAAAAAAAGGTCATTTGAATCTTAAAAACTAGGTTACCCCCTCTCCGCCACGCGCTGCTGCAAGAGTTTACTATGATAACAGTAAGTAGACAAAATATGTAAGATAGCTAGACCACATAAGCTTACATAAGATTTATAATAATTCAAATAGTATATAGAATTATGATTTAAATGTAAAAGTAAGATGATATGGCTTTATGAGATAAAAAAAGGATGGAGGTAATTTGGACCATAGATTAATCATCTAAGGGCTAAAAACAACTGAGGTGATATTATGACTTAATGAGAGTAAACAATGAGGAAGATAATTTGGACCATAGAATATCATCTAAGTGCTAAAAACAATTAAAGCGATATAGCTTAATAAGAGAAAAGAGAAATAACATTAACTAAGCGAGGATGAATTGTATAGGCATATAGGATATTATAGAAAATGATGGAGATATATATATATTTCAATATTATGTGAATTATGTGGGATGGTGATTTAACATGCTTGTATTTTAAAGCTTTAAAATTTAATAAATTATAGATAATGTAGCATGATTGCATAATGTTCAAGATATAATAATTGTTAGTGGTTGATAATGTGGTATCTTTTCATGTTAAACATTAGGAATTAGTTTATTGTAACTTTATAGTAAGGTAGGATACATAATTGTGATGGAATCATGGAAATATTATAGCTAGTACCCATGCATGGAAATACGTACGGTATAGTCGTTGATTTTTACAGATTAAAGTTTAACCACAATAATTTCTTATAAACTATATTCTTCATTGCTATAAAATCAATATTACTTGAAAACACTTTAAAATAGTATGAATCTATCAGTGTAAAGTTTATAAATCAAATATACTTGTAATTTTAGTTTGGTTAGAAACTAAGGAAACTAAGGAAATACTTCCGGATCAACAAATAAATGACATTTTGGAAATGTGTGATCAATGCGCTTAAACTTTGACAGTCAATTTCTCTTTAAATATTTCAATTCACCTTTTAAAAGTGGTATATGGTTAAATTTGCCTTCAAAACATGTTTTAAAATATTATAATTTTGCTATATTTTTATAGGGTTTATACTAGTAACCAAAAACAAGTGGCTTGGTGAACCATCACTTGTTGAACCATGTTGCTTTCCAAAACGTCACTTATTTGTGCTCATAGGAAGTAGTGATAAGAAAATTTTAATCAAAAGAGATGATATAGTTTCTCAAATGCAGTGCTATATTTTTCAAAGTTATTTTAGGAAGAGGTAAACTAAAGAACATACCTAGCGCATGTACACACACACACACAATATATATATATATATATATATATATATATATATATATATATATATATATATATATATATATATATATATATATACGCACACGTGAAAACAACCCTCTTTTAACACGCTGAAAAAAAATGAAAACCAGTGAAAATTCATGTTCTTACTAAATTCCTACTCCTACTAACTACTCCCTTTATCCACAAATATAACTTTTTTTATGTGACATATCCTAGTACAGCGAACTGGACAAACTCTCTATATGTGTCGCATCCGGACAAAAGACCTTATATTTGTGCACATATGGAGTAGTCACTACCACCAGATATCTGTTTCAGCTTTGGTTTTCAAACTGCTAATAAAACTAGTACTATCCCATAATATAAGGATTTACTGCTTAGAAAAGTGCTGCGGAGTATACCATTTTTTCCCGTAGATGACTGCTGATTAAAAATCTCAAATAAGTGTGTTCTAAGATCATATATAAAAGGCCATGTTTAGATCCCCTGGAAAAATTTTTCACCATGTCACATCGAATGTTTAGAAACATGTATGGAGTATTAAATATAAACGAAAAAAATAACTAATTACATAAATTTCGTGTAAATTACGAGACGAAAATATTGTAAGCCTAATTGCTCCATGATCTAACAAAGTGGTACTCTACATGCTACAGTAATCATTTGCTAATGGTGGATTAATTAGGCTTGGCGGATTCTGTAGTTTGTTTTGTTATTAGTCTATGTTTAATACTTAAGTAAATTTCATGAAACTACACAGTTTTGTGATCCAAGTTGCAGAAAACCAAACACACACTTTGACACTTGGCGCTTAAGTACATATATTTTAGGAGTGTAGTTTCACAAAACCACACTATCAATGAATGGATTCACCTGTGATATGACGTGGCTGTTCCACTTAGGATGAGGACATGGCATCCAATTATCAGCCATTGCACGAAATTAATATGATGCCACGTTCTCATCCTAGGTGGAACAACCACGTCATCTAATAGGTGAATCCATTCATTGATAGTGTGGTACAGAAATATATGTACTTAAGTGCCAAGTGTCAAAGTGTGTGTGGTTTTCTGCAACTTGGACCACAAAACGTGTAGTTTTGTGAAATTTACTCTTAATACTTCAAATGTGTGTCCGTATATCCGATGTGACATCCAAAACTTTACACCCCTGATCTAAACACAACCAAAATGTTTATTCTTTTATGATCATAAAATTTCAAGTTTCAATGCAAGAGCTTGGCTTGTCTAGTCTAGTAAAGTGATCAGGTGTCAGATTCAGGCCACATTAATCACATTTCTTTTCTTTTCTAGTTTCTGTTGCTCATAGATGTGACTTAATTACCATATAGTATAGCTGGTTGGCGCGCTGTTCCAATAATTTGCAGGTGTGATTTTTTTTATTAGCTTATCATTGGATAAAATTATAATTATAAAACTTATTTTTAGTTATCTTAGAAGTTAGTTTAACATAATTTATTTTTAATTTGACTTCTAAATCGTTAATAACATAAATATAAAAGATATCTATAATAAATTATTTTTAGTTGCTTATTCTTATATTTCTGCGGCTTATCGATCCTAGCTCAAAGGATCCTTTACTCCCTATTGGTAGTAATAGTTGTTATATATATGCTTTAGTCCACCTAGTAGCGGCTACTAGTGTTATGTAAAGAAAATTCTCACAAAACGCAACTGTACAGGAAAAAGATATGTACTCGCGCAGCCCATCTTAAAATATTTTATGTCTTACTTTTTATTAATTAGTTTTAATGTGTTCACTTTTTATGTGCCTACTTATATATGCTTTCAATCCCATACATGTAAACTAATTATATATAAAGTCATCTATAGTTCGATCGCCGTTGTGTTAAGAAAAGTAGACACCAAATAATAAAATAGAATTAATAGAATATTTATAAAAATATTTTATCCATGATTAATAAGTTAGTAAGTTATAAAAAATAAGGGGGCTATATATATCCAGTGAACTTGAGTTTCCTCATCGTAGTGGTGTAAATATATATGTAGTTAACCAGTGCATACAGCAAAATGCATGTCCAAATTATTTTCATTTCAACACGTACATTATTTTACTTCTCACACTTCTTTCATCCACCGTAGAACAGTACAAGCACATCGTCGAATCAACAAAACTATTAAGTCGGCAAAGGGTAAAACTATTGCACAACTACTTTCGAGCTGTTCTTAAGACTATATACTTCTGTGTTGTTTTAACAGATAAAAGTGAATTTTACCCTAGTTAATATTGTCCACATAAAATTAGATTTTGTTTAGATCATTAGGAATGTCTGCTCTCATGTATCTAATGCTATCATATGCAACTCCTAATTATACAAGTCCCCTATGATGAGGGCAATTAAATGCATATCCGTATATGGATGATCTCTTTATATGAACTCGTAGAAAGTAACATAATAATTCGACATATATAATTAGTTCATTTTCCAAAATCTACAGGGCCAATTCTAAAAATTATTCAGAGAGTTTTTTTTGGCATTTACCATACTTATCAAACCTTGACAGATACCATGTTTGTGATGGATCCATCACAAAAGGAATGGATCACATTAACTAATTTGACTAATTATCACATGAAAAGAGGGCATGATGCATGCACCAAAATAAATTAGCAGAATTTCTGTTAAAAAGAATCACCAACATGCATAGTTAACCACACCCAATAAAACAAAGTAAATAATGTTGACAAAATCAACGCGCTAAAATAATTACCTCTCAGAATGGGACTGCACGCGCATGCATGTCAAGCACATGAAGTGACTTTTGTAAAGCATCCATCAGCTTGAATCATATCTCATCCCAATCCCTGCAAGAGATCGGTCAATTGACAAGGCAGCTTAGCTTTTTTACTTCTATGTGTCACATTTCTATCCACACAGGTGAATCTATAGCAATAAATCTCCTTCTAGGAAGCTTATTAGGTAGTTAATTTACTAGTTGACACAAATCGGCAACGGGGTGGATACAATAGCTATCGTCTGTCTCTTAATGTAAAGAAATCAGCTGATATATGGACCTTGGATATATAGGTTCAGTTAGATCAACAGTGCACACAATCAAATGATGAATAAAGATAAATGATCTTCCTTTGTATAATCCTAATAATTATCTATTAACGCCCAGTGAAAAATAATTATCTATTAACACCTTAGCTAAAATACCATACAGTGCTATAACAAGGAAAATTAAAGTTATCCACTGAAACCAATAACACATCGGATTGACAACAGAAGTGGAATCAATTCACAAATAGTAAGAAGTAAACACCAACTAGCTAGTAATTAGCTTGTACAAAGGCAGATAAACCCTTTCAACAAGACATATGCACCGATATAATTGGTTAGAGCACAGGAGTAGTACCTTGTGGAAATTAATGGTGTAGTTGCTGCCTTGCTGGCCATTAAACATGAATGATGACCTTTATCTGAAAAGAGAAGGATGAATGGTAAATGGGTTGCTCATGTCATGAGTAGCAGCAGTGAAGGACCACAAAGCCAAGATGCAAAACTTCAATAAACAAGCCAAATTATCACCTTCCATCGCCACATGGTAAAGAAAACTGAAGAAATATGACCAAACCCACAGGTGAAAAAACAGACATGAAGGAAACACACTCATGCAAGCTCAGCTCAGTAACACAGTAACAGATCCCCGTTTTACAGTGGTTGGGGAAGACAGCAAGAGACCCAACAAAGGGCAAAGAGTGTGTGTGTATGTGAGGGAGGGAGAGGGGCCGGGCTAACCTAAGATGCGAGCCAGATCTGGCAAACGCATAGCGAAACAACCTTGCATGCCAAATATGGGTCATCTGTTAGCCTCTTCCATGCTCCATTTTTGACCAAGCAATAACTTGATGAACCCCACCACCATGGCCAACAACCTGCACAAGGAGCTTTAGCTGAAAAACAAGAGAGCAAAGAGAGAAGTGAAGAGAAGAGATGGGGTAGAAGAAGAAAGAGAGAGAAGATCCGGTTAATCCTGTTGATGAATCACCACAGTGCTCCAGTGTACTGGCAGCATCTCCATGCTTCAGCTCCCAACGCAAGGAGTAGTACTACCACTGCAAGAGTAGGAGAAATAAGTTTGGGGATAAGGAAAACACGTAGCAAAACCAATCATTTATCCCCAGTACCACATAGCCGGGACTAACCATTATCACCAGCATCCGTATCACTCTCCTCGGTAGTAGTTCCGGCGACAGCACGGCTGAAAAAGATTGAGAAAAACAGGGGTAAACATATGCATTTTACGCACATCTAAGAGATAAGGAGGTGACAGGGTAAAGTGTGGGAGAAAAGACAGAGTACTTCAAGCATGCGTTCTCTGTCTTCTTGTGGCTGAATTTCTCTGTACCAAGCATGAGGTTTCTCTCTACCAAGCATAAGGGGTGGTTTCTAGTGCTTCTTTGGAGGAAAAGGCTAGATCATAACAATCAAATTGAGTAACACCAAATCAAAGTAATTTAGTGATTTTGTAAGCCTGCTAATAGATCTGGATAGGAGTTGAGCCCTGAGAGAAAGAGGGTGACAGAAAGAGGAGTGAGCACGCGGCGAGGACGGGATAGATTTTATGCCGGCCATCACGCCGTGTGCTCACTCTCTTCTGTCAATCTCATGAGAGCTTCTCCGTGCTAGAAATTTCTTGCTCTTACTTGTCATTAGAGAACCTATTTAGTTCCGAGTCATCGAAATCGAGAAATCGAGAAAAACGAGTAAAAACTCAAAGAAAAACCAAATAAAACCTCAAGAACTCAAGAGAAAGAATCATAAACGGAAGAGAGGTTTTCTTCTTGGATCCGGTGAGCGGCCACCGTACTGAGCTTGAAAGGAGAGCTGGTGAGAGAAAAGGACTCTCTCCCTCTATCTCTCTCTCTCCCTCCCTCTTTGTTTCTTGGTGTTTGCTTCTTGGAGCAGAGGAGATGGATGGGACGGGTGATGGTCGTACCTCCCAGGGCTGAAGGTTTATGCATAGTAGTACTAGTTATAGACCCTGCTCCTGCCTTGCAGTAGTGAAGTTCCAATTAGCAAGAGCTAACACTGTGTGTACAGTGAGAACTCCTACTTGCATTTTGATTAATTACATGTCAGATTTTGGAGGAGGACAAGGTACCAATATCCCACCCAAAAATTAAAGAAAGTTTACTTTGCCACTGTTCATAGTACGACAATGGTATCTCCGATGAACTTCCATTAATTCGATGAAGTTAGTTGATCTTAGTTTATCATGACCATTGTTTACTCTCTAGTCTCTTCCTTGGACAGATCTGAGAGGAGGTACATGGCAAACTTTGAAGAGAGGTATTAGGATTTTAAAATAGCCATGCTGATTTCCATATCTGAAGCTTTGTAAGGTAGTTTAGCCCTTGCGTTAAATTCGACGAAACAGGGCCTCTAGTTTAGCAGTAAGTGGTAGAGTGGTCAAGCTGATTGCTTGAATTGGCCGTTGAAAGCTTTGCTCCAAGCCGCACATATTTGTCTGGTCATGGAAAGCTCGGTTGGTGAAAATATTTTATCCATGTGCATGATCTATTTGTATTGCGACATATGAATATATATAGACCAATTAAGAACAGAAAGTCAAATACTAGTTTGATTTCACTGGAGCATTTCTTCTCCCTCCAGTCACGCAAACATATCGGTTTAGACATGTTTATCTCAAACTTTAAAAACATTGGACATCAATACAATTTTAATTATTTAGATTGAATGTATGAAAAATCACATAGTATTACATATATATATAATTATAGATTTTCCTTGAAAAGTACTTTTATAGTATTATAACTTATTGAGTTTTCAAATGTTTCACAATAAATATTAGCTACCAAAGTCATTTTTAGGACAGCGCTGAGATGTCCAGAACATGTTTTTGTAGTAGTTGATTAGTAGAGCTAGCATAAGAAGGTGGTGGTTATGTTGATTCAATTCAAGCATCTATTCTCCTTAAAATCAGATATGCTGTGTACACCTCATGCACGTTTCATTTTTGAACTTTGGAAAGGTACTTTTGATCAACATTTCTTCTGCCAATAAATTACTACTGTAGTAAATTAGTTTGACCGTTTACGCTGCAGCAATACCGTAGAAGCAAAGAATGCGTACCTGATCGAGTTGTCCTACAGGCAGCAAGCATTAATGATGGCCTCTGACTTGTATATATGGCTTTTGGCCGTCTTTATATGCGCAGAATCTGTCCTGTGTGTTTGATTTTCGTCTCCAGGCTCTCTATGACCCTTTGCAAAACAGATGACACATTCCCTGGCCTCCTTTCCCCTGACAAATATATAGAACTTCTGATAAAATGTCAAATTCTAAGGACTATTGGACATGCCATAATCAACTACTAATACTATCAACCAATTCTCTTCTGTTTGGGATGTCACCAAAATAAATCAAACATGTAATAACACAACATGTTGGCCAAATAGCTAGGCCGCTAGCTGGAATGCTGCAGCTGAGCAGGAGATGTTAAAGTTCAGTGACATCCCCAAGGATTAAACAAACTACCCGTGGATTCTCTCTTTTGCATGGTTTGACGTACTTGCAGTGCTACCAAGGGTATGAAAACGTTGACCTGATTGCAATCGCAAGAAATAGAAGTGAATTACCGACACAAAAACAATATGATGACGGGAGGCATTACGTTCCTCGGTTATCAACAATGACATGGGCCCTGTTTGGTTACATGGACTAATTATTAGCCCCCATCTTTTAGCCCTGAATTAGCCCCAAAAAATCCAAACATATGGGCTAATTTAAGGCTTAAGTGAATTAGCCACCCTCAAAACATTAGCTCCTCCAAGGGGTGATAATGGGGCTAATTTTCTGTGGGGATCATAAAAAAGTAGCCCTATCTCCCTTCCTCTCTCCTCTCTCTCTCTACTCTCTCTCCACCTTTTAGCCCTATATTAGCCCATAGATCCAAACATATCATCCTAAGCTAATGTTTAGCCTACTAATTCAAGACTAAACATTAGCTCTTAAAATTAGCTCTGGGCTAATCTTCCAAACAGGGCCATGGAGATGAACATAGCAACTAAATTAAATTAGCGAGATGCACTTGATAATGTAGTGACAAGGGATGTGTGGTTTCAACCCTGATGTCTCATGTTCAATTCCCAACGCGCTCATAATTTCTTCTTAAGAAAATGTTGGAGGGATATCTTTCTCCGAATCTCCTTTTTGCGTTCACGTCGACTACTCCACTTGTCCCCCAAACTTGGGGTGTGTTTAGTTCACGCAAAAATTGAAAGTTTGGTTGAAATTGGAACGTTGTGACGGAAAAGTTGGAAGTTTGTGTGTGTAGAAAAGTTTTGATGTGATGGAAAAGTTGAAAGTTTGTAGAAAAATTTTGGAGCTAAACTCACTCGGCCTTGATATACTCGCATTGACTAGATAGGCACCGCCTTCTTTGGGACGATAGCTGAGTTGGACAGACTCAGACAGATCGAAATATTGAAGAAATGCATGCATGACGATCAGTGAGCACCCGACATGCACTCTCACATCATTTGACAACTCGATCTACTGCAACCCTTATCTCATAACTATAGCTAGTATTTGTCCATTTAATTAATATATAGTAATACATAAATTATGATAGTATTAATTAATAATTCCGCTATCAGACAATAATATAAACTCTTATTTGCAATGCATTAATTTTGCATAAAAACAATCTAAATCCCAAAGGAATTAGAAAAATTCAAATTCCAAACGTGGTCAAAATGTTCTAAAATTAGTAGTGGTCAACTGACACAAGCTATTCTTGCATTCATATATATTAATAACGTATGATTTCTAGGTCAATAAAAAGGTGCCTCCTCAAGGTCATATCTGTGATAGCAATCTTAACAGGCAAATTTGATGATGAAGAGTCCCTACCAATCTGACTCAGAGTAGCAATCATATGTTTTCTAACGCAGGCTGGCTCCCAATGGCAAGATAATCCAAAATTTCTCCCCTTACACCACAAGGCCCGAATTTCCTTACAACCGAATTTCCCAATGCAGCCCCGCTCTATTATATATTAATTGTTCACATTCGATGTTTGCAATGTAACATTGGGGTGTTCTTTTAATCATCGATGATTAGTACAATCCAGCTTTATAACACACATATAGAAAGCCCAGAAGAAGTCACATAGGAGGGCTTTCCATTCCTAAGAAATTGAAGTGCTTCAAACAGAATCAGCGGGATGCAAATACTAGTAGGACCCTTGTAATCCCATGGCCTGAGTGACAGAGGAAACTACTACCAGCAGGACCAGTACTGCAGGGACCCCAGACATGCATGCCCCAATCAATGTGATTGACGCGCACCTTATTTTGTACTCCCTCCGTGCTTTTTACTCCTACTCCCTCTCTCCTAATATAAATGCAATTTAGTATGAATTTGGACAGTATCCTAAAACTACAAATCTAAATAAACATACTGTCTAGATTTATAGTTTAAGATATATCACATCTATACTAGGTTGCACTTATATTACGATGGAGGGAGTAGTTGGCACTAGATACTATTCATGCATGCAACGACATTGATCACTTCTATTCTTTTTTTTCCTCCCAAAAGTTTTATAATTAATTAAAGTATTTTGAATGCTAAATAGTAGTATAACTTTACTATTTGTGTTTACTATAAACATTACTATAATTTAAAAGTGGTTATCCAAATACATAGTCAAAATCTCTTTAAGACAGAGGTAGTAAAAGGGGAAAAAAAGAGTACTTAAGGGTGGTGAAGGGTCTAACATTTTTCTTTGAGGGTTGGGATTAAAATGAGATGGGCTAAATTTTTATACATTTTTAACCTAAAAATATATAAGAGCTAATAGGATTGTGAAATGACATACTACTTTGTCCTATAAAAAACTTAATCCTAGCTACTAACCTACTCCCTCCATAAAAAAGTCTAATTCTAAGAATGAATTTGAACCTTTGTATGTCCAGATTCATCCCTAAAAATGGATTTTTTTTTTGAATGGAGGGAGTGGGCATATTTTTTTAGGCTCATAGCTAGGATTTTTTTTTCTTTTACAGGGGTATATATAACTCAACACATTACCATTCCTACTCGTAATATACTGGTACTACCAAAGTACTACTACAATAACTCTCATCCATCCTACAGGTTGTTACTACTAGCAGAGCTGACCACTGCTGAGCTATCCGCCTATCCCTTCCATGATTCCATCCCCCAACCCTCCAGTGGCTGGCAGCAGCAGCAGCGTTTGGTTGCAGCACCACACCGTCACACGCGGTGGCTACCGTCGAAGGTGCGTGCATTGCATGCCTAGTACGAGTAGTAATTTAACAAAAAGGAATTGTTTGCCTGTTCTTTTTCTCTATTCTATTTTATTCATTTTGGTTGCGGTTCGCTCTCGGGGCCCGGAGCGGCGGGTCCTTGTCGGACATTCGGCACCGGCGCTGTCGACCCGTGATTGGTTCACCGCGGTGGTGGGCCAACCGTCGACGCCTGGGAATGGCCGTTGGTGGGCCCATCCCGACCGCTGCCCCTGAGGCTTGGAGAAAGCCATGGCGGGTAGAGTGGGCGCAGTACAGCAATGTCGACTCTAGACCTAGTTAGTACTTGCTGGTGCCAAAATTACGTCCGTACCCCTTGACAAATCATACTATGGCCTTTTTTATATTCCAACTTTTTCATCACATCAAACTTTCCTACATGCACAAACTTCCAACTTTTCTGTCACATCGTTACAATTTCTTTAAACTTCCAATTTTAGCGTGTAACTAAACACAGCCCATAACGTCCCACTAATCCAACTTGAAAAGCATAGCTGATGGCAAATTTGCTTAGGCCGTGTTTAGATTTCAACTTTTTTTTCTTCAAACTTTCAACTTTTTCATCACATCAAATGTTTGGATACATGTATAGAGCATCAAATGTGGACGAAAGAAAAACCAATTGCACAGTCCGACTGTAAATTGCGAGATGAATCTTTTGAGCCTAATTACGCCATGATTTGACAATGTGATGCTACAGTAAACATTTGCTAA